AAAGAAACACAAATTAAAGAGAATCTAATTTTACAAAAATGATGCAAACACTTGTTGTGAGAATTCGTAAATGAAAATTGAGGAGACATAAAAATTCAAATTCAAATTCCTTTTAGCTTAATCGATATTTATCTTATTATATTTTGATATTTATAACAATTAATCTTCAATTATTCAATTTGAAAAATAAGTTTACTTTAACTCTTCAAATTATTGGTTAAATTCTTTTTAAGTGGCTTTCTTTAAAAATTACTCAATTTGCACTATCGAACTTATTGAATCAATCTTCAAAAATTAACAAATCGTGTTAAAGTGCTATGGAATGTGTTACACATCACAAATTCTATTTATCAATATGCACATTAAAATTAATAACCTAATGTAAGGGTTATTCTTATCATCTTAAGATTCAAACAGAGATATGGTATTTGTTAAAATATATCTATAAGATTTTTTGATATCTTCAAAATTGTTAAGCACTGTGTTCTAAAAATTAATATTTAATATGATTTACATCTTCCAAATATTTTTCAATAAATTTGTATAATTCTTTTAACACTCCTTCATTTTTTGATTAATCTAAGATTTTTTTCAGTTGTTGATGATCTTTCTACAACAATAATTTTTGATTAACATCAATATCAAGCTTCATCTTTCCAATCATTTTTTTATACTCATCAGAACATTAGGTAAATTTTTACCATTCTTACTCAGGAATATGATATAGGTTTTAAAATGATTCTAAAGCGAATTGATACTCCTTCTTTAGTATTAATTATGCTTTTTTGATTCCATATATTGCAATTGATATTAAACTGTTGTTTGTCTTTTAGAAATGTGATTGCAATTCATCAATAAGCTTTGACATTAATGAAAAGCGATACAGATAAAAATAGATTTGATTCCAAATTAAATAATCCTTGGGTCTGTCCGAGTTGAGAAATGGAAGTACGCTTAATAATAGTTCGTTTTCCAGAAGAGAACCCTTTAATTGAGTATCTTCAGTATTATATTAAGTTTTCACATAAGTCTAAGTTTGTGAAACCTTACTTATAATTTAGTGTTAATTTAATGATTTATAATTAACAGGATTTTCAAATTCAGGAGGATAGAGAGAACTAATATTTTAGTCGGGAGGTTCGATGGAATCATCAAAGTTATTCTTCTCTTGAACTAATGGTTATGATGATATAATTTGCTATTCTTCAAATATTTTCTTTAAATTATAAGATATAATATTACCTTAATAATTGTTGTTACTTAAATGTCGAATGGCTGGGATTCTTCACATTTGGAATTTGTATTCTTTTCTCTTTTTTCAATGACTTTTGAAATGATATTTTTCAAGGTATTCTGTCTGTAAAACTGCTCCTAAAGGGAATAGAATTAATTATTTTTAAATTTCTACAGCAATTACAAATAATCAATTCTTTTATTTACATCTATTGATAACATCGATATCACTAGTTTCTTCAACCCTTCCGAATAATTTGTTTAAGCAATAGATAAATTGATATCTGAAGAAACCTCGCTTAAATTGCTCATTTAAAATCTTGGTAAATCATTTCCAACCATCAAATAATAGATGACTCTCCCTAATAAAAAGATATCCACTTTTTCATTGTAAGTTTAATTATAAATCATTTCTGGCACTTAATATTCTAAATCTGGGTAAAATCCATATTCCATCATAACAGAATGCTGATTTTCGACAAACAAAATATTATTTACATTAAAGCACCTCCCTAAGAGGTTTTTTTAATGAATGGCGTACAAAGCTATCAGAAGGTCTTAGAAGATCTTTAATATCACTTATTCCTGTAATTATTTCAATTCTGACAATAGTATATAATCCTGAAAGCCATACC